AATATCCAGGTGTTGAAATATGTTGAGTGAAATTTTGCCCTCTTAATCTGCCACCCTTGTCTGTGTGTGCTTTCTGCCTGCCGAAACCCCAGCCTACAGGATACATTGTCTTTTGCCATTTTACTCATTCCAGTGAATTCTATTTAAATGCTGTAATTAAGCAATTCAATTTTATATTTAAGCAAGTGCTGTCAGTATATATCTCCTCAATTGATTTAACCAATTCTGTACGTATTGATTTTGGACCATCTGAATACCCTAATGATGAGTTCATTTGTTAATAGAAGAGTTTCTCTTCTGAACTTAGGCAATCGATGCAATTTACCAATACATGCCGGTAGGTTAGGGTATAGCTGTGTCTCACAGAACAATCATGTGAAAAAAAATTTAAATCCAAAACAAAACAAACACAAAACCAATGCAATTGTTTTGCTGTCTTTTTCCATGTTGTTGAATATCCAGTTATTTGAAATTATCTGAATGACTGGGTTTTCCCTTTTGATTAGGAGTTGTAAAAACCCAGTTTGGATGTATCTGCTAGCAGAATGTAAGGAAAATGCACATAAAATAGGAAATGTAAAAGGCATATAGAGCAATACTAATAAAATCACATTTATGCTTGACTGACAGCATTATTATTGATTATGGAAAAAAGCAACACCTGAGTCCACTGCCACACTCTCTCTAAGCCATCCAAGTGTTCACTTTGATAGTCTCAGCATACAGGCAGGAAACATATTGTGTTAGATTTGTTTTCTGTAAAAGGAGGGGAATAATGTTACAAGCCTGACTATAACTATTCAGGGCATGCTTCTTATAACCCTCAAAAGATTCTCTACATTTTCTATAAATATAGTATACATGTCTATTGGACTAGAAGAGAAATTAATGGAGTATAATCTCTGGGACAGAATTACCTTGCTAAAGAATTTTGAAGATGTGTGATCATTATATAGAAGATGGCTGGCAAGTTTTCTAAGCACTTTTTATGCCACATTTTATCCCTAAGGAAATATGATATCATGTATACCATGTGGATGGGACTCAAGAGACAGCAACTGTCTTTCCTTCCTTCTACCTATTTTTTTTTATGATAGTGCTACATTATATCGTTTATGTAATTCAATATGATTCCTGAGTTACTTGAGCTTTAGTGCAGCACAAGGATTCTCTACATAAAAGAAAGACAAGGTTCTTATTTTCAGGAACATAGGTTTAGCGAGTGAGCAACTCTGAGCCTGTCTGTAGCCACTTCATCCCTCCAAAGGAAATAAATTTGCTGATAATGAGAGAGGAGTCAGCTCAGAAATGCTCCTTGGAATCAGAGAAGTGCTTCCTTCCTCGCGTAGAATTTCTCAAGTTACCCCATGACAGAGAGGGGCCGGGTAGAATAGGAGTTTCAGGGCTTCCCCATCCTCAGGGTCCAATGTTAATTAAAAAAGTAAAGAGCCCCTCTGATGGAGTGAAATGTGGAAGGAGGGGGCTACTAAAAGACGGATCAACTGGAAAATATGGAATCATCTTAGGCTTCCTTGGAAACAGAGAAAGAGAGAGAAAAGAGAGAAAGACAAATAGAGTGTCAGAGAGAAAGAGGTCTGTAGAATCTAAACATATCAAAGTCTTCTGTGAATAGCACTTTCCAGACAGAAGCATTCTGTTCACTCCAGAACCACTACTGATATGGAAAGTGAAAGATAGAGGTTCCTGTAATCCTCATTGGAATAACTACTTAGGTTTCATACTGCAACGTGGCCTCTACTCAGTAAGCCCAATAAACTATCTGGCTGTAAAAATCTACGCATGAACACCTGTGTAGAAAGCAGTCACAATGAAGAAGCACTGCATTTACATAACATGCTGCAGCTCCCAGAGCACTTGTCAGTGTTGGCTACTCACAACCACCCTTGCTGTAGAAAAGGCAGAAATTATTATCTTCATTTTTTAAATGAAGAAACTTGCTCAAAGGTGTTTAGTACTTGCCAATAGTGTAAATGGCAAAGCTGGGGCTAGAACCCAGGTTTTTAACATTTCTGGCACAGCACTCTTTCCACTCTAGCCTGTTACCTCTCATCTTACCATACTTGAGTATATTCCTTAACATTTTTATTTCTTTTATTGTTTTTAGTTATACTAGAGCTTCCTCAATAATGAGAGAAGTATCATGATAGGAAACCGTGATACAAAATAAGAGAATATAGGTTTATAAAAGCATAGAGACATTATAAATTAAAGCAGCATAACTGTTAACTCTCTAGCCTCCATTTTCCAATCAGTTTAAATTACTTTAATGTGTGTTTTTAAATGTAAAATTAGCTGCAATCTCAATATGTAACTGTCTTGATGTTTAGTGAATTGTGTTATGTGATTTCCTTTTAATTTCCCTTCTTTTGCAGTGTCTTACATTCCACCATGTGTACCTGGAACTTGGGATTGTCTTCTTATGTTCCATCATTTCAAAAGGGAAATTCGTTCTTTCTGTATTTTGTAGAATAATTCTTCTACCTTAAAGGCACATATCATTTGCACATAAATAATTAACTTAAAATGTTTTCCTCAAAGTCTCTTAATATAATAATTCTTCATAGCATGCCTAAAACAACATCAAATTACAGTGAAAGCAAAGTAACAAATTGAGAGCTGTTTCTCACGTGGTAATGTTCTCTGCCATCATTTACTTGAGAGATTCAAGGTGATGAGCACACAAGAGTATGACATGAGGACATCTGACTAGAGCTGTTGGGACATCGAAGGATCACAAGTTAATTTCCAAAGAAAAGAGAACCTCTCAGCATAGACATTTTCAATCAATAAGCAAGCAACCCACAAAAAATTAATTTGAAGGAAGTCATTTTCCTATGTTGGCTCTATAAAAACATATATGTTTCAAAGAAACTGGCCTCAAACATGATCATGTTCCTTTTGATCAGAGAAAAATAACTGGATCTAATTGACAGTTCAAAACCGTAGAGCAGAGAGGGTATTTTCAAAAAAACATGCTTCCGAATCAAAGGGAGGTTAAGCAATGTCACTTTGATTTTTCCCTCTCCCTGTGTCCTGCCAGTGGCATGCTCAGCCTATCACATCCAGTATGTTTTAAAAGGAAACCACTTGAACACAGCACCCATTAGTCTGTGATAACCTAAATCTTCTAGAGCAGACTTAACTGCTCTAAAAACGTGGATTCGCATGATTTCCACAGTGACATGTCTTCAGCCTACTGCTGTATCTTATTGCAAACCAGCCAGGCTTGGGAGAGGAAAGGGTGTTTATTAAAAAAAAAAAAAAAAAAAAAAAAAAAAAGCAGATGTGAGTGTGCGTGTGTGTAGAGACTGGGTCCTGCTGCTGTAGTAAAGGTGCATGGCAGTCCCCACTCCATGCCAGCACCACCTCTCCCTTTGTTCCTCTGACCTGGCAGAATCTGCAGGGTCAGTGAGATTCGCATCCTCTGTACATGGACTGAAAATGGACAGGCTTTCATATCTAAGATATATGTGACAGGTGAGTTGGGCCAGCCAGACACATATGTCTTCTTTTCTCATTTTCACCTCTTACCTCATTCCTTAGCTTTTTTCGTATTCTAGCACTTGCCAAAATTCAACCTCAGGCACAGATGGTGAGAAAATGATTTTTGCCTACCAAGCCAAAGAAAGTGCCCAAATATTAATGGTTATTTATCTAGAAACAGAACCTGAGGCTTAATAAATGGAAGCATGTATTTCTAGCACTAACATCTAAACTTCAGAAGTGTTTCATTTACTTTTAAAAATACTTGTAATTGCCTTCAGTTGTTATGCATAGAGGGTTTCACCCAGAGTGTCAAGTCCACAGTTAGATTATACGTTGTCTCTGCTAAAAGTGGTTGCTTCTGTGTTCTAACTTACAGCAGTATTTTCTTCTCTGTAGCCCTTACCCACGTCCAAGATTCACAAATATAAAGGTCCCCAAAAAGATACGTTTTTAAAGGATCTGAACAACCCTGAGGTTGTCAAATGGCTGCTTCAATGCTCTTTTATCAAACATAATTTCTATAGCCTGAAAAAGTCTATAGGAGCACAAGTTTGGTTCTGATTACATAATTATGCTGCAGAAATATGAAAAAAAAATTCATCACTAAAACCCTCCAGGTGCTTAGACAGTTTGATAGACTGTAGCCATTCTGCCATCAGCACCCCCAGCTGTGTTGCTTAGCAACATTTTAATTCCAGAAGAATCGAAGGAGATGAAATCCCTGTGGAGAAGGAAACAGAAATAAGAGGGCTGTTGACAGATGATCTGAGTTGTTTCTTCTAATATACTGTGAAGATCACTAGCTCTTTTCATGAATGATAAATGGACTGTACACAGATCAATGGGTTCAGCACTAAACTGGAACCAGGCTCCATGTCTAAGGCAACGCAGGCCGAGAGGCCCAGAGTTTTCCTCATTTCTGTGATTTGGTGTGTATATTCTTAAAGGTTCCACAGGAGGAAATTGATCTGAGTATTCAGTCATTTTTTGCCCTTTTATGGGGCTAATAAAAATGATTTTGGAAATGGACACTCGACTTTCTGTCATGGTGTGAACGTGGCCAGGTTTCAGTAGTAGTGTTAGGATGAGCAGTTCCCTACCACAAATCTAAAACTCCAGGGTATGCCCACGACCATTCCCTCTGCATCTGTTTCCCCTATCTGTCATTACAACCCAGTCAGGTCCAAACAGGGTAAGATTAGAGTGAAAGGCTGGAAGTCAGGCACCCTAGTTGTGCACCCAGGAGTCCACTTTTATGGTGCCTGCTGAACTTTCTAGGCAGCCCTCACAATTCCCACCGGTATTGGAAAGCTGCACTTGGACAGGTCCCAGGAGAAGAAAATTGCTTTCTGAGTCTCCAGTCTGCTTATCTACAGCACCCTTAGCTCCTTATGTTTCTGAAGAGTATTTTATATTGCTTATTGTTTTGGTAGCTAGTTGCAATGATTATGCTTGCTAATGTGGTCTAATTGCATATTTTCTTCTGTTTACAGGCTGTTGAAAAGGCAAAACCTAGGAATAATCCTATGAAGTAAGTTATTATTTTTATTAGTTGCAAATGTTAATTTTAATGGACTCAGTGCATGTGAAAAAATAAGGTCATAAAAGAGACCTTGGATTTTGAGTTAATCTCTATTCATGACAATTTAAAGACCAAAACAAGCCAAAAAAAAAAAAAAAAAAAAAAAAACCCTCCAATGAGCAGGGACCAGCTTATATTTTTCCCTGTGTTCCTGATGAAGAAATGCCCCAAGTTGTACCCAGTCTACATAAATTAATATGTTCAGTCCATGAATAGCTGCCAAATACTATTATAATCATATTCAATGCATAGTACTTCAAGCCTTTGGGTTTTGCACATGCTAAAAAGATTACATTTTTAATTGCAAATCTTGGACCTATGACAGAGACGTAAATGACTGAAAGTGTGCCAAGTGATTTCCAGCCACGTGGGGAGGTTTGGCACCTTGGCATCAAGGCCTCAATACTCTGTTAATGAAAAGCTCATAAAATATACTTAACTAAAGGCTTTTCTTTTTTGTTTTAGCTAACAGAAAGCAATTCCCAAGGCATTTTATGAGATACTCTTAAATCATAAACAAGCTACACAGCCCTCTTTTAAATATAGTACATCTTAGACATCCTGTCTCTTCCAGAAGGGAGACTTTCAAATTAAGAAGGATGACTGTCTTGTCATTTGGGTTTGTAACATCTGATTGCAGTGTTACAGTGCATACTAGTCCTGCCAGCTCTGTGGCTGAGGCAGGACTTTTTCTATTTGCTGGGTTATTTTAGGTCTGGTAATAGCACATCTTGAGGAACACTGCGTGTTAATTTATTTCGGCTGACTTCCATTATAGTTGGTACCAAATACTGAAATAGAGAGTGCATTGATTATTAAGTTTCTGGGAGAATGGATCAGCTAATGCCAATGACAAGAAGCCTGTTTATCTTTTGTATACTAAAATAGTTAACTTTTCCAGGGCATCAGGGTAGCATTTAGCATATCATTAAATCCAAGCTCTAGTACATTTTTCCACAAGGTGTTGTGTACTTTGCTTTTAAGTTTCATTTTTCTTACGCCAAAGAATATTCAGTATCAGGCTCTGTAACGTATAGAGGGGTATCCGTAGTCTAGAGATATATTGTGTTTTAGTCCTATTGAAGTATTTGTAGTAGCTGAGGTTTCGTCTGGTTGTTCAGTTGGGGTTGAAATCTCTGCAGCCTGATTTCTTTTCCGTCTGAATGCCCTGAAGGCTCCTCCACTGCGAGCCTGTGGCTGGCAAGCTCAGAGAATTAGAGGATGGTGCTAATGAGGCCAGGGTCAGAGCTTTTGTCCCTGGGTGGGCGATTAGTGATCTTCTTTCCTGCAGTTCAACTGCACTCCTCCTTCCAGTCTGCCTGCATGCAGATGTGTGCCCCAGGTTACAAAGCATGGGACTAGGACTGGAGGAATGTAAATCGAGGCCCTCTATGGCAAATATCTCCAAGCTCCGGCCCTCCCAATAGGAGGTGATTCCCAAGCTGCATTTTTGCATTCACAGAATAGCCCACTGGCATGTTTAGGGTTGCATTTAATTCTATTCTAATGGCCTAGAAGTGGCACCAGTTTTCTCTTTGCTCCTTGTGAGAATTTGACCCTACAGTAATTGTATTTTTTATGAGTTCTTATTAATTCACAGCACAGACTCTATCTAATGTCTGGCATTTTGAGGAATGTTATAAAGAGAAGGCAAGGAAACTAGAAGAGTCAAAGGATTATTGAGCTTTGTGCTTTAAATATATTTGAAAATCCACTTAGTAATAAACCTAAGTCACAACCAACTGGTAAGTGTTTAGAATTGTCTTCTAATTAAATAAGATAATATTCTCAGGGTGAGTTTGGGTTCATGATACCAAACTCAGCACTTGAAGAAGAGAGACTTCCTCAGGACCTCAGCTCAGAAACAGAAACTTCGCCGCAGGGTTCAGTTGCACTGCCTGACAGAAGAATAGCATCAAAGGTTTTAAAAATGGTCCTTTTGCCATTTCTGATGTCTGCTAGAGAATTTCAGTTACACGCAATGCACTGGAATCCCAAATAAAGGTTCAATACGTGTTTTCTGAATGAATGAACAAGTAAACAAATTGCACATATCCCAGAAAACAGGGATTCTTCCAGGAAAATAGGTTTCTTCCAGGAACCTAGCCTGTAGGCTTGATAAGGCTGGTGGCTCTCCTCTAGTAGAGTACCACCATCATGTCAAAAGGACATGTGTATTTGTAACTAACCAAGTGGTCCAATCCCTGTTATTCTTGCCTCATGCCACATGTGAAAATGTTCCTCCATTGCTCTGGTTCTTTGCTCCTTGTGACAGCTCTAGCTGTTTTATTTCTGACCAGTTCCTCATTTGATCTCGTATCAATAATTAATATTTGATTGTCTTTTTGAGTATAAAAAGTGAGTACAGTTTTGCTGGAAAACAGAGGTCCAGTGGCATTATTTACAACTCAAGTTTGAACACAAATTGGTGAATATGGCCATGTATGTGATTTGATATAGCCCTTTGGTGTAGAGTTTGGCAAAATGGTTGAGAAAAATCAGAAGAAGAACATTTCTTGACATGTGAAAATTATATGAAATTCAAATTTCAGTGAGTATAAATAAAGTTTTATTGGAACACAGCCACACTCATTCATTTCCATATTGTCTGTGGCTGTTTTTGTGCCACAATGGCAGAGCTGAATAGTTGTGACAGAAACTGTATGTAGCCTACAAAGCTGACCACTTTTACCATATGGCCCCTTATAGAAAGTTTGCGGACTCCTGCTCTACTTGGTAAGGTAGAAAAAAGCATTAAGCTTTTTTGTGATGCTGAAGGTTAAACTATCAATCCTTTCTCCTTTGGTGTTTAAAACAATGACTAGATATTTACTGAGCCCTTACTGTGTGTTTAGGACTTTCTAGGGTTGATATGCCACTTAATTCTCATTCAGAGCAAAGAGACTCGCTCTTCACTCGCTACCTCTGAAAATCATGTGGATACAAAATCCAGTGACAGGGCATTGATGTCTCAGAAACCAGCGAACACATAGAACACATATCTAGAGCATACTGCTAGTCTTCCAAATTGTGTATAGATGGATTTATTGCAAAGGCATAGGAATTTTCTAAAATTCTGTCACTTCCATATCTAACTAAAGCTAAATAAGCTTTCAGTTATGGTGATGGTAAATAAACTTATTAGTGCATGGCTATTAAGTTTCTAAAAGTTTCACCTCCCCCTCCCTATTTCTCAACCACTTGTTCAATTTATTTTTAATACTTTCATGGTTGTAAGCTGCTTCTTTCATTGCCATAGGGAAACTGTGATACACACTAATTACACTCCATATAAAAGAGAAATTAAATATATGCCTAGTGAATATAAGCACATAATATACCTGGATACACTAATGCCATTCCCTTGAAACATTAAATAGTACCTCTGAGGGTAAGACTCAAACATGAGTGTTCTTAAGATCAGTGATCCAGGACAAGAGAAGCCTGGTGTATTTCTCACTGTGTTGTAACCATATTGGTATTAGAGCTTGATTAGTATGTTCAAATTATGGCTCTTTAATGCGTCAGAAAGACTTTCACTTGTATTTTAATGTTCTGTAGCTGTCATCTCCAGGATTTCATTGTGACAGCAAGGCCTGAGAGATGTACAGATTTCTTCCACCATATGTGACTTATCACATACATTTTTTTCAAAAACACATTTCTGTTATTAAGACATATGTGATAGTACATTTCTGAAAATGTGAATTGCTTTTGGCTAAAAGCCATGCACTAATAAGTTGAATTGAATCTAACCAAGGTTGACATCTGTTACCGAAAGAGAGAGAGGAAGAAACAGAGAGAGAGAGAGCATGCACACACTGTTGTCAAGCATAAAATTCTTTCCTGCTTTTACACTTTAACAACATTAAACAATGTGATGGTTGTCTTTCCCAATTCGGGATCAGAATCCACTCTGCATAGGAAATTACAGGGTTTTTTTTTTTTTTTTTTTGGAACTGATTCATTATAGACATGGTGCTTTCATTAGTGAAAATGACAAATAGCCACAAAAGCTTTCCTGACTATGATGTTTGTGCATTATTCATTTATTCACCTGATGAATATTTATTTAGGTTCTACAACATTCTGGGAACTGTGATAGATGCTGAGGGAATTAAAAGTAAATCTGACACAGATCCTACCCTTGAGGAGTTTAGAGTCCAGCAGAAAAGATAAAATCGGTTTGTAAAGAATTAAATACAAGATATATAGGGAGAGAAATGTCTGTTAAGTGGGGAACAGATGAAGTACAGGGAAGCTCTAAGGACAAAAAGTGCTTCTAGTTAACACTGTCAAAGATGGAAGGGATGATGGGGGAGGAGGAAACACTTGCACCAGGATTTTAAGGACTGCTGGTTTGCGACACTGGTGCTGAGGTATGGCAAGGGGAAGCAAGGAGCCCAGGATGCCTGATGGGATGCAGGCAGTGAAAGGCCAGGATGGAAACCAAGGCTAAGTAGAAATGGAAGCCTAGGGCCCTCAGAGTTTATCCAGATGAAAGAGATTCACATGGTAGAGTCAAATGGCATTGAAGAGCTCTTCACTAGGCACCGAATGTAAATCATCAATCACAAAGAGTTATTAAACACAAATAGTTGATAGACCTGGGTTCTAGTCTTGAATCTGATATTAGTTTGTAGTATGGAATTGCACATGTCACTTCCTTGGTATAGGCCTCAGCTAGATGACTTAGACGGATATTCCACTTCTTTAAAAAAGCCAAAGCTTGGAAATCTGTTTTATAATTTTACTCATTTTAGAACAATATTAGCCCTGTTAGTTTGATGTAGATTCATGCATGAACATAAATTATATATGTGTGGATAATGCATCTGTGTTTAACTCCACACACACTCACCTGCAGACACACATAATGCCTTTCCCCATCATTTTTACCTTTTACTTTTGTGAAATAAAGCACAAAAAGCCACATCATTAGAGTTTTA